ATAAATAGTAAACAAGACAGGTAAAATGATGATATGTGTTAATAAAAACAACAACAACAACAACAACAACAACAACAACAACAACAACAACAACAACAACAACAACAACAACAACAATAATAATAATAATAATAATAATAATAATAATAATAATGTTCTGGCTTTATATTTGACTTAGCTTGGTAATATTTGTAGGATAAAAGTTACAATTAACTATAGAAAAATGAACAGATACTACATTATAACAGAGTCAATAGTACTAAAAGAAACTATAGAAAAAATGATTGTATGTACCTTTTTATAACAAGTTAATAGTGTCAATATTTATTTAATGCGATTTCTTGATTATGGAAAGTTAATTACCTAATTCTATAACAATTTGTTAACTTTTTTTTTTTTTTTTTTTTTTTATAACTTCTCTTAAAAAAATTGTAATTAAGTAATAAAAAAATAAATTTTTTCTCCTAATATTACTTTCAATATTCACTTCCTAATATAACATTATTTATAAGACTTAAATAGAATATATTTGTGTTTTTTTTTTTTTTTGAAAGCGAATATATTTGTATTTGTTAACTATCAAATTAAAGAATTTATCAATCTACCACAAGTATATTAATCATATAGTAAAATGTAATAAAAATAGTTAATATAATAATTATGTGCAAAAAAATAAGTTCAATATAATACTGATATTTCAAAACAACAAATTATATTAGAATATAATTTGGTGTGCTCGATCATGTGCTTGGCTCCAATAATTGCATAAGATTACAAATGATATTATCTTATCTTATCTTAATCCTAGGCTCTTAGGCTTTTAGCCGTATACCAATATGAGCTCCACTACTGGTACATGCCAAACAAATATTATATCAATGTTAAGCAGAGAGGTGTTGAAATTCCATTGATTGCTCCCTCCCTCATGGCTCCAATCCCAAGAATGCTTTCTTTATTACATGAATGTATAGTAAGTATTAACTCTAGAGTAGGTGAACTCCCCCTTGTCAATGTCTTACAATTATTGTATATATATATATATATATATATATATATATATATATATATATATATATAGTACTAACTACTAACAAGCCCTCCACATCAAGAATCATATGATATTGCTGCATATTAATTTATAGCATAATCTTGTGATAATTTGGCCATTCTTCTTAATCTATAGCATAATTTTGGGATAATTAGGACATTCCTACACTACTAATGATGTCACTAAAATAAGGTTGTTTAGTTTGAAAAATATTGTTGCACATGACAGGATATGATATAATTTTAGAAGAGTATATTTAATGCATTGACTTATGAGAACCATTTTTCATGGGAGAGTTGTGGAGAAATTTAGGTTGTTCATCTAATAGATCTAACGGTTAAAAATTAAAGAAAAAATTATGGTCATTTTTATAAATATTTATGAAACTGGCCCTTTCTCTTCTTTTATTTTTTTTCATCTTATTTTTAACTGTTAGATATACTAAATGGACATTATAAATTTGTTTACAGTTCTCACAGAGATGATAGCGCTCATATATAAGGGAGGGTTCAGGTGAGAATGTGCTTCAATGTAAAAAGTGAGGACTAATATGGTCCATCTATTTGGATAAATATATCAACGGTTGAGCATGGAGTTGCTAAAAAATACGAGAAAAGGGGTGAAGTTTGTTTTATAATTATTGCAATTTTCAAAGTTTACAATAATTATACAATCGACCTCATTTTTTTTTTAACTTAATGTTGCTGTATTTACAGAAATAAAAATAATTTTTCACGGACATCCCAATATAGTAATAAGGATAACAATTTTTTACATACAAAGGGTGTAGTACAAGAGAAATTTAATTAAGTGTGAGACTGTATAATAAAATGTAATATACTGTACATGTAAAAACATAACATAAAGATTTGAATCTAAATAAGTGAGGGTGTGTATATATATCAGTAAATACAATAAATAAAAAGTTTGAAATAAAGATTATTACCATTTTCAAGCCTTTAGAGTCAACCCAAAAAGCATGTCATTGAATGAAGGCAAAAAGATTGCGTGAGGGTTGAATTTATTATAAACGAAAGAGGTAATAAGTTGCATGCAAACTCATCTCACAACTCACATAGGATTCTTATTTAGCTATCTCTATCACCCTCCACTATGCTTCTCATGGATGGTGTGTACTTTAATTTGATGTTTTGGTTTTCCACTTAATTTATCACAAAAGTGTTGAAACTTCCCACTACAAGACGTAATGCGCCCTAGATTATTTAAAAGCTTAAATGAGTGGTCTAAATTAAAAATGATTTTATCTTATTTGGCGCCTTAGGACATCTCTAATAATGGTGATTTTTTTTTTTTTTTTTTTTTTTTTGGTTTTTAAGTGTCTAATAGGAAAAAGAAGAAGGGAAGAGAAAAAGGAAAAAGGAAAAAAAAAAAGAAAAAAAAAAGGAAGTCTGACACGAAAAAAAACAGAGGAACTGACGCGCCAGTGAGCATGTGCACTGCACGCGCTCGGCTGGGCGCGGTATGTGCCGTCCACTCACGCGACTGCGACTTTCATTTCTCTTTTCTCTCTCGGCAAACCTCACAAAAAATCAACTTTGCAGGAGGCTGGAGAGCTCTTTATTCTCTCTCTTCCCTCTCTCTCATCCACATAATTTTTGTTTATCTCAAAAACTGTGAAAAAACCACAATGGGGGATAACCTTATAAATTTGGAACGATCAATAGCTTTTTTTTTTTTTTTTTTTTTTTTTTTTTAAACCTGCAATCTACAAATTAACTAGTATTAAATGAATGATTTAGACTAGCTAAAATAACATGAATCTCAAAATTATCATCCTTGATTTTTAGATGCAATAAAGACTAATACATGAACAATTGGACAAGTATAACTTGTGTGAGGCAACACCGGCCAAATTAATTTTTTTGGTGGCTAGTTTACTTCCTACACATCTTTATAGAGGAGAATATATATAATCAGGGAGGAGGAGCATTGCAGGCAAAGGAAATAGGAGATTTAAACTCATAAACTTTTATCTACATGATATTCATTTGTTGGGTAGTCAAACTTATAAATTTGTTATTTTATATATATTATACTCAATAAGAGGTGGTGTTAACCATATTGATTTTCATTTGAGTTAATATCCAAAATTGTGCTCGACTATAGTGGTTTTTCTCAATTTCGTCCTAAACGACTTTAGTGACCTAATATCGTCCCAGACTTTTGTGTTTCGCTCAATTTAGTCCCAGACTTTTGTGTTTTTGCTCAATTTAGTCCCTCATTTGTTATTCTGTCCATTTGGTGTTAAATAAATAGACAATTCAGTAATTTTAATATTGGCATCTCTTTACTCATAGACATGTGAACTGCGAAATCCTTTTTTTTTTACGAATTACTCCCATAATTACTCCTAAAACTGCGAATATAAAATTTGATTTGCAGGTCCGGGAGTAATTCTGGGTGTAATTCGTACAAGAAAGAGGAATTTCGCACTTCACAAGTTGAAAGTAAAGAGAGATCAATATTGACATTACTGAATTGTCCCTTTATTTAACATCAATTTGACTGAATAACAAATGGAGGACTAAATTGAGCGAAACACAAAAGTCTGGGACGATATTAGGTCACCAAAGTCGTTTAGGACGAAATTGAGAAAAATCACTATAGTCGAGGACGATTTTGGGTATTAACTCATTTTCATTTAGATAGGGTGAGAGTATACTTTGAGCTTAGGTGGTGGGTTAGGAGTCATTGTTGTCTGTGGGACATATACACAATATATAAATTAAATAAAGACTAAAGTGAAAAGATGATTTATTAGTATGATAATGAAAGAGTGTAAAAAGAAGTAGTGAAGTGATATCTTTCACATAGTCACATATAGGACTTTCTTGAGACTTATCATTAGAGATTTGTCATACTAGTCAATCAGAAGCCTTTAAAGCATCTCATACTTGCTAAGAGAAGATAAAAAAGGGTTTCCAATTTCCACTCTTTCAACTCATGTTTTGCCAAACTTTTTAGCCTTTTTTTTTTTCTATGATACTTCTTGGCTTGATTTTGACTTGGCTTGTGTTCTTGCATGTGCATGTACCTTTCTATATATTCTATATAACCCCCCCCCCCCCCCCCCCCCCCAACTCTAGCTTCCCCAACATTATTGCATATATACCATCAAAATCATGAACAAGAAAATTAAACCTAGCATTGTGCTCCAACCATGGTCATATCCATTATACATATTAATGGCAAAGCTTCGAGTTCATCCAGTAATTAAATTAAATCGATAATTATATCGTATAGCAGTGTATGTTAGCGTTAGAGGACGTACAAAGCTGGTGTCACAAGACTCCCTCAATCTTGTTTGATCTCCACCACTAACTCTTACTAGTGCCTGTTCTCACTTGTGATTATGAAATTTTTCAAGTGTGTATGGTATGTATTTGAAATTTTTGATCTGTTTGATCATTATTTTGATTAGTATAGAATAAGTCAGTCGCAGCATAGAAATTTTACGTGCTCACGGTGCGAAATGAACTCAAAATTAATTCCATGACTAGCTACGTACTCTAGGTAAGTGGAGTGAATATATATATATATATATATATATATATATATATATATATATATATATATATATATATATATATATATATTGAATACCTAGGTGTTGTACCTTTCCAACACCTTTAAGTCTTTAACAAAGCAAATTAAAAGGAAAAGGTATGGAAAACAAGCTAAGAGAGGGAGAAGTAGTCTTTCTATTTGCCAAATTGTAATGATTTTATTTATAGATATGTACCAAGAACCATGTACATATGCTGGCTGCAGGTTGCAGATAATGAGAAGAGCCAAACAAGTACATACATATATATAGCTAGAGAGAGAGAAAGAGAGAGAGAGAGAGAGAGAGAGAGAGAGAGAAATGAAAACAGTTAAAGAAACTAATTAACTAAAATGGGAAGAAAAATATATATAGCTCTAAATCGATTCAAGTGTGTAATCTGCGAATGAAGACAGTGTCCAATTCTGGGGGGCTGAAGAACTCCCTCCCACCCCAACAAGCCGATGACGATGATGATCTCTTGGATGCTTTTCGCTTCTTGGGAGGCGGCGGGCACGTGAGTCTCCTCGGAATTCTCGAACCCTCCGACGTCGGAGTGGTGGAGGAGCCGCCGTCTTGGTCGTCACTATTGTCCCAGCCGCCGCCGCCGCCGTGAGTGGCGGCCACGCGAATGGGCTTGAGAGGATTTCTCAGCGCGATTCCGGCGAGGATCCATCTTTTGGCTTCTGACTCCACCTGCAGGCTGCCCTCCATTTGGTGATGAGGCTTTTCTGCAAACTCCATGATTATATATATATATATGAATGGAGGAGGGTGTAAGCAAAGGCGGCGAGTTTGAAGAGAGAGCGTGTATGTGTAAATTGGATGGAGAAGAAAGCTAAGGAGAAAAACAAATAAAAGAGAAATAAAGTGAAAGAAAAGATTGATTCTTGTTGTGAAGAATATATTCTTCTCAAGAAAGCAGCTGGAAATTTCTTGATCGAAGCTGCAGCTAGCTAAGCTAGTGTGTAGAGATTAGAGAAAGGAGAGAACAAAAAGAGATCAGAGGTCTTTGGTGGTGATGATAATGGGAGTGGGAGTGGGAGATGTGATTTTTGGTTGGTCATCAACCTTAGCTTTGCTTTACTTATATTTATGTGGGGGGGCACACCATATATATGTAATAAACTATAGAGATTATCATTATTGTTGTTGTCCTAAAAGGTTAATCCCCATCATCCTACTGGAAGTTGGGCACAAGGAGCCTCCTCACTTCGAGAGGTTACTCCTATCCTGTCGTTGGTGAGACTCGATTCTAGTCATTCTTTCCAACTTTCAACTCTATAACCAGTTGAGTTGTCCATGCGGACAACTTTTTCTTTTCTGACTTACATTAGTGTGACTCTATTGTGACATGATAAACCACCATTTATTACTTAAATCGTGGTAAAATGACATGTAATTAGCTTATAGTTCATTGATATTGTGTCAAACATTCCTTATAACTGTATTTTCCATCTTTACTACTATACACACAAAAATATAGAAACAATCGATACAAAATTATACTCCGTATTTTAAAAAATACCATTTTTTCAATCAATTATATAAAAAAATATAATGCATTTATATTCCTTGGATTAATTTGGGTTTAATTTTCATAAATGACAATTTTCCTTGGGTCAGCTCTCATGCCGACCTCTTTGAGCGAATATGGATTATTATTCAAGTGAACCCGTACCTTAATTAGACAGACGGAATAGACTTAAAACACATCATGATTTACACTAAAATATTAATAATGCACTTAACCCTCGATTGTATAGTGTATCCGATCCGCTTTTGATTTCTAAGTAGCCTACAAATTACTCATTATATTTGAGGGATCAAAAACATTTGTTTGGTGTCATCCTTAAACCGAAAGTAAAAATATCAATAATTGATAATTCCGTCTACTTTACCATATAACATATTATTTGTACGGGCTTTGAAACTTTTTTTTCACACATATTTATATAGCGAAATTATTCGTGATGTCTCCTTAAAATGGGAAGAATAGAAGTACTTTAGACAAATCAAGTGATTGAAAAGAATGAAAATATGTAATTCCTTTAAAAAAAATTTGATACACACACACCACACGTGCTTAGGTGAGACTTTTTTTTTTTTTTTTTTTCAAAAACGTTTAGGTGAGACTTGGTGTTTAAAAAAATGAAAATTCATCCTAACCATCAATCTAGTTAGAAAGATCAAAGACTTTGAAGTAACTCAAGTAAGGAAAATTTGCAATTGTATTTTGATGAATATCTTAAATTTTAAAGTAAGTCGCATATACTACAAAGTGTATATGATGAAACATAAATATAACAACATCAACCATTTTAGAAGTGTATCCGATGATTAAAAAAAAAGTATTGTTATAAATCTGCTACTGGCGCTCACTTTCGATTTTAAGAAGACAGCACCACCAAAGCTAGCCACTCATAAATAATAAAATCTACATTTATACTTCCTTTGATCTCTATTTTGATTGCTAAAACATGATTAGGAAAGGATAGTGGTTGTGTTTTGGGACTGCAAAAAAAAAAAAAAAAAAAAAAAAAAAAAGCGTCCTCAATTAAAGAAGCAATCTGTAAAAAAAATAGCACATCTTAAGGAAAACTACGCACCTTAAGAAGGAAAACCACATAGCTAAAGCTTTAGAACGACGCACCTTAAGAAGGAAAACAACGCACCTTAAGAAGAAAAACCACGCACCTAAAGCTTTAGGCATACTCACCTTAAGTTTCAACAACTGACGCACCTTAAGCACATAAACCACGCACCTAACGCTTTAGACCGACGCACTTATTAAGTTTCAACAACCGACACACCTTAAACACATAATACAAAAACCACACACCTTAAATTTGACCTAGATGTAAAAAGACCAAATTGTCATCGCATTTTTTTTAAATGTGTTCAATCTGGGTTGTTGATTTTGATTAGATCAAGGGCTGAGATTAAACCTCATCTCTTACCGGAAGCCTATTACCGCATTTGATCTCTATTATATATATATATATATATATATATATATATATATATATATATATATATATATAGACACACAAACACAAAGCCCCACACACCAAATCCAACTAAACAAATATTCTAATGGTTGTGGTTGGCAATGCAAGAGGGTGATAATAAATGAAAAGTGGTAGTGGGATTGTTAGAAATGGATTATTTTGTGAAAGGAAATTAATAAAATGAAAAAAGGGAAAATTTAGGAAGATGGAACCCGAGGAAAGCGTGAGAATGCGGTGTTTAAATTAAAGAAGAGGTTTGAGAAGTGAATGTGCCCGTGGCCTGACCGCGGGTAGAATAAAGTCGGAAATGATAATTATATTGGTACGTAAAGCTAAGGTTAAATACAAAGATTTGACAATGTTGACTTTAAGGAGATTCCTTGTTTGCCCACTTGTATTTTCATTCTCTTCTTTTTTTCTCTCTCCGCCCCTCAATTTTTGTTTGCTTTCTACTACTTTTTCTCTTTCTTATTTCAACTTTTCTATTTATAGGATTGTGTAATTTGTGTTCCATCTTACTTGATTAATGTTTGGAGAATGTTTGGTTTATCCGTTTAAATTAAAATCAAATACAGTATTTAGCAATTAAAATAATTTTTTGTACCAATAATTTATCCTTATAATTAAATAATATAATAATATTCACTTGTCTCATTTTAAATATCTTGTTTACTATGGAATATTTCATTTATTAGTCAAATTAATTCTTTCCTATTTGGGTTACTTAACCCGGCGGATTTCTGAATAATCTATCAAAAAATTCAGATTTGTAAAAAAAAATGTAATTCCAACACATGGTTAAACTATTACACATTTATCTACAAAAAAAAAAACTATTACACATTTACACTTTAACAAAATTACAATTTGGCATCTTCATCAATACATCATATATGAATTCTTCAAATTCAAATCAAAACACATAGTTAAACTGTTACACATTTACACCTTACAAAATTACAATTTGGCATCTAATACAATTATGCTAGTCTGCCAGAAGTTAGAACTAAAAAATTGATCATCAATAATCAATTCATCACCAGCCAGTTAGCACTCAGCACAAAATAATCCCAGCATCAAATATCCAATCCTAATATTCTATTCTTCTTCATCATAAAATATTAAAATTGAATAAGTTTAAAAGTTTATCAAAATGATTTACAATTGAACTCTAAGAGACAAAGTATAAAAAAGAATAAAGGGTGCTCAAAATGTTTTTTTTTTCCCTATATCAAGTTAGGATCGGGGGCAAATTGCTCAATGAGTTATGACATCAAGAGCACACTACATAGGCAACATATCAAAATCCAATTCTAGATTTTTCAGACAACACGGTGGAAGCATCATCATTGCGAAAATAGGGCAATAAGCTGTAAGCATAAAGAATAAGAGAGATAAGGTAAGCGATATACATTACCAGTCACCATTCAAAGATAAAGGGGTAGGAATTCATTACTGATACTTGAGCTCAATGGCAACAACATTTAAAATGTTGCCAAGCCATGAGCCACACTTTCTAGCCAAGGAATCAAGGATTGAGGGTTTGAACCTCTAAGGGATAGTGATACACATACACTAGTATAGACATACATTCATCAAATATCAAAATAAAAAAGTCAAATGCTTAAAATAACTGTAGTGAAATACTAAATCGAAATATAGAATAAAAAAGTATACATGTATTGGAGGCAATGAAGAACCAACTCCAATGCTGGATGTGCTGCACAACCCTGCAAAAAAAAATAAAAATAAAAAATTGTACGTTAGATTTTAAATTAAGGTAATAGTGTTATTAGCTATATTTTAAAAAGGTTATAGTATTTACCTTCTTTTTTTTTTTTTTGTCAGAACACGAGGTGTCTTGAGCAGACCCTAACTGTAGGAAGCACCTTTAAGCTCGTACCATGCTCAGACTAATCCTCGTTCGCACCTAGCCAACCCAATTAAGGGGCAAAGTGCTGGCCAGATTGGGTTTCCATACGAGAGCGGGTTCGAACTCCCGACCTCTCTTAAGGGAAAGAGTGCACGACCACTCACGCCAACCAAGCTGGTTAACCTCAGCCAATCCTGTGCTCACACAAGTGCCTCAACAATTTTAGGAGTTAGAGAACTCCTAAAAGAATCTAGTACCCTGCCATTGGTACTGAATGCTGATTCTGATGAAACTGTAGAGATGAGAACAACAAGTATATCCCTTGCCATTTTAGACAATACAGGGAACCTATCAGCATTAAGCTTCCACCATCTCGAAATCAAAAGAATCCTCCTCATCCACAATAACCTCAAACAAATAAACTTCCAACTCAGTTTTTCTTTTTCCTACCCAAATCCCCACTCTTCAATCTTTGCTTCTTAATATGAGATTTTAATAAAGACTGAGGTCTCCTAACGGAAACAAAATCAGATATTGAAATAGAGGGAGCATATCGATTGTTCATATTGTTAAACTAGAACAGGAAAATTGTCTACATAATCGACAAACAATTCCTTAAGGCCAGCCATAAGTTTCTCAAACAATGATTTACCATAGACATCACCATATAACTGATTAAACTGGATGTGTATGTATTATATTTTGTCCCTGGGGTCCAAGATATATGCATAGAATATCAGAGAATTCATCTTTTCTGGATTGCCCCAATATTTATCAAACTTTACCCTCATATTCATGCCCATAATCTTAACACTGTCAGATTCAGCTTCCACCATATTATTTAACAAGCATGACAGATCAGAAACCTCAGAGAAAAAGGTATTAGAAGTCATGTACAATGAATCAGATATCCTAACAGTCATTTCATAAAAAGATTTCAGAATTTTAACCAAAGAAGCAACATAATCCCAATTGTTAGCGTTTTTAAGTCTAAACCCCTGCATGTAATTGACCTAATTATTATGTCAAAGTTAGATATGTTTTGGTTTAGGTGTCTGACAGAGTTTGAAGAGAAGACCTGATCGATCAGACACTACGCCAGAGTATTTTGAAATCTATCCGTTGGACTTCACCGAATTGAATTAAGATGATCTGGCAAAGTAGTTACTTCAAGGGGTGTTTTTACAAGAAAGTTCTTTATCTGATATTCACTAAAAATGGTAAGACAATAATTTACTATATGGAATTCAATCCAAGATTACTGGTTTACCTGTTCTCAATCAGAGTTCAATATAAGGGAGATTATTTAAGGGTTTTCAACAACTCTATAGCGATCTATTCAGACTTGAATCACTGACTTACTCTCTCAACACTTTGAAAAAATATACTCTGATTCATTCTCTTCTCAAGTTCTATGAACTGAAGATCTACGAAGAAATACTTGAGAAGAAATCATTGGTGCTTAATTTGTAGACATAAAGGCCATGCAACTGTGGGAACAATGTAGAATGCGTCATTGAAGCGGACTGCAACAGAGCGAATCTCCAAGAAGGGATTCCTTGGACTTCTGATTGCACAAGATTTCCGTCTTCAACAATCCTTTATACCATTGTAGATTGGGTACTGACCGAGTGAGGATCACTTTGGGTGAGATTGTTCCATCTCTTACCTTTCTGTACAACTGGTGCTTGAGATAGTGGATTGGACGTACTGATGGTTGTCCCCCAAATGTAGATACATGTTGTATCGAATTGAGTAATCAATATATGTGTCATTTACTTCCTGCCACTTATTTTATGCTCTAAGTTCATTACTGTTGCATTATCGGTTAGAATCATCGGTTAGGTTTTGCATAATTTTAACAACGAACTGTTGTAGGTCAAAAAGTCTTGCAGTCAATAGTGACTCAGATCTCACCCCATTTTTTTTGCAGTCAATTCGACATTCCAAACGCGCGTTTATATATTTAGATAATAAAATTACGATATCTACAACTTTAATAAGAGCCAATATTGTTAGACCCTTAGCGGGTACTAAAAAAATGTCGGTACAACACATGCTCTGAAGAGTTGCACTTTATGCCTTTCTAATTATACAATGCCAACTTAAAATCCTAATATAACCTCATTCTTCTCAATTTTACCAAACTTTCGATGTTAAATTTAAGAGCAAATTACACTTTTGGTCCTGTGACTATTAGGGGTGTGTTAATTTGAGTACGTGACTTTTAAAACTAACAATTTAGTCCTTTAACTATCATTTTTTTAGCAGATTTGGTCCTCCAGGCCAAATTGCCGGTGGAATTTGGCCGGAAAGACGTTCGAATTTTTAAATCAAACGCTATTTTTTTTACAATTAAAAAGACCGAATTACCCCCACTAATATTTGATTTAAAAATTCGAATGTCTTTCCGGCCAAATTCCACCAGCAATTTGGCCAGGAGGACCAAATCTGCTAAAAAAATGATAGTTAAAGGACTAAATTGTTAGTTTTAAAAGTCACGTACCCAAATTAACACACCCCTAATAGTCACAGGACCAAAAGTGTAATTTGCTCTAAATTTAACGATTCTGTCAAATTAAGTCGCGCGGTGGCAAAACTGAAATTTACGTGAAATTCAATGGCAACAAGAGAAGCACAGCCAACCGCAAACAAAAATTAGGGAGAAGCACAGCCAACCGCAAACAAATTAGGGTAGCAGTTCGGAGAAGCACGACCGTCCGCACGAAGGAGAATCAAACATCAGCAAAGGGCAGTTAGGAGAAGCACAATCGACCGCCACTAAGGAGAATCCAGCGGAGAAGCACAGCACGGTCGTCCGCGACTAAGGCGAATCACACACTAGGGAAGAAACACAGCAAACAAATTAGTGCAGCAAAAGCATCCTAAGGAGAATCAAAACTAAAGCAAAAGGAAAGCTGATTTGGTCTCTTTGCGTCCGGTATGCAATTATGTACAATTATGCAGAGATTGAAGTACATCTATTTGAGAATTTTCCTTTTTTTTAGGGGGTGTGGGTGGTGTGTTGGATTTTTAATTTGGAACTGGAAAAGGAGGATTGGCTTGAGTGGTGGCTGGGTTGCTATTGAGTCTATATGTTGATTTGGAGCATTCTGAGTATGTTGAGTGGTGGCTGGGTGAGCTAATGGAATTAATTGAATGAAGAAGATGGTCCACCTAGCTTGGTGGACCAGCATACTCCATGATAGTTCTGGTTCCACGACTTGTCACAACATTGCCATCCACCTGCACTCTGATTCAACAGCATTTGCAGAAGATGACAGCTGATCCATGAAAGATGGGTAACAAGTTGCCTGTTAAAAACAAAGGCACATAAGTCCAAATTAAAAACCCTCCATCCAACTGCTCAAGTGATTATTTTCATGCTTATGGTTTAGATTTTATCACATTGCCCCCATCTTTGGGTTTGTCAAACTGCTCAAGTGCATTTCCTCACAGCTATGTTGTTGCTTGTCCATTCTGCTACTTGTTATGCCTGTGTTTCAGTGTTAGAAGTGATCAGTCTTACATGATCCCTACTGATTAGTATGTTACTCCTGGAATGTTTCATTGAATTGCAGGGAGAAGATGCCTGGTGCATCTACACTTAGAGACTGCAAGACTTTGGAAAGCATCAATAAAAAACAGGCTGAAAGCAAACAATTATATGCTGCAATATGTGCCTCCCCTGCAGTAGCTCTTGGATCGTGGGGACTGTTGAAGGGGCTTAAGGCAATAATTTCCACTCATTGAATGTGGGTGGTGTGTTGGATTTTTAATTTGGAACTGGAAAAGGAGGGGGTTTCTTGCAGTAACAGTCCAAAGCTTTGTTAAGTGGAGGATGTTGCGGCCATGGGGTGGATCTCAAAATGGGAAATGAAGCTTTATGTTGAAACCGACTGGGCAGTATTATACACTAGATGGATGGGAAATGCTTGTTCTATCTGTTGATTTGGAACAATCTGAGTATGTTGAATGGTGGCTGGGTGAGCTAATGGAATTAATTGAATGAAGAAGATGGTCCACCTAGCTTGGTGGACCATTGGAATAATTGATTTACATAATGGGATTGTTTGGTAGAGTTCTGGCATTGCTAATGGGATGAGCTACTGGAAAATTGTTGGCTTCGACTTTAATTTGCTTTGCTGCTCTGTCTTTAATTTGCTTTGCTTTCCAGTGTGGTGATGTAAATGCACCTTGGTGAGTGCAATATTAATAGTGATTTTGTCATTTTTGTGAATTTGTTCTTCAATCAGTAGTTATGTATTCTAACATGCTTTTTTTTATTTCTATTTTTTGTTAATGTAGAATATTTATTTATGTTATTGTAGAAAGATCAGAATTCAAAATTGTATTCGCATTTATGAGTTTGAATTTATTGTTTATAAACAGCTCTGCTATGGAGCCCAGCCATTCTGAAATCACTGAATCCAGTCGTGATGAGAGGAATAGAAAACATAGGGAGCGGTATGTTTGTAATGAGACTCGACAGGCAGAGATAAACATGAGACGCCGAAATGCTTCCTGTGAAACATATGGTACCTTCCTATTAAGGCTAGATTAATTTATTTTTAAGCATTGTTTTTTTTAGAGTTAATTTCTTAGTTATTTTTAAGGTGTCTTCGTTCATTGTTCTTATGTGGAATCTCTTCAGCTTACCGTCGTGTGGAACTCCTTATATTTATTTATTAGATTATTAGAAGTTTTTCCATTAATTCATTGATTCTGCTTTTTAAGTTTCTAGCTTTAATTTTGATAACTTAGAAGGTTTTAGTGGAGCTATTAGAGAAATTTTCTTATGAATTTCAGCTTTCTGACTAGTTTTATTTATGGTGTTTCCCAGCTTTAATTTATTAGTTTGTGTGCGGTTCATAGTTTATGTGGCCCAATGTTCAAACTATGTAGTATATACCTGTCTAGCTAAAGCAGTAGCAACCAAATTTGATGATTCTTATGAATGCTTCTGCAGGTAGTGATGAGCATAAGTCTTTAACAGGATTGCTTGATTTGTCTAACGCTAATTTTTGTGCATTTCTTTTAGTTCTGGATCATTTCCTAATAGTTTGAGAATATTTTGTTGGCCAAGTTACTATGTCCTTAATGTTGTTTACTCATGATTCCTTTTTGGAGATTATGGGTTCAGGTCATATTGTGATGAATTTCTTAAGATTTTTTAATTATGCTTAGGAAAAGATAGTCTTTTATATGCTTACTCATGATGAGAAAGTAATAATGCTTAGGCAATTATTATTATTATTATTATTATTATTATTATTATTATTATTATTATTATATAAAATTGTCTTATCTAAATTCAGAATAAGTTAATTCTGCACTTCATCAGCCAAAATGATTGTTATTAACCTCTAAACATTATTATGACCAGTGATTGTGATATCTGCAATTAATTCTCACCTCTTTTTTCTCTTCTAGGTAACCAAGATCAGATCACCACCAATTTTATCAAATCTATGCTGTCCGACAATAATTGACTCAACAATTCTTGAATCGGATTCTTCACAGCAGCATTGGTAACTTATATAAGTATATAAGAAAGTGCATGAGGTTTAGTTTTTGTATGTATATGTTGCCTTTAAATAAAACACCAAAGGGTTTACTATATGGACAATTTCATACATCGTATCTCAGAAATAGTAGTTTAGAAGGAGATACATATATTTTTCGAGTAAGATATTTGTGGCTATATGGAGTAGCTTACTATTTAATTCTTATTGAATATCCTTACAGTAACAATATATGATTATATGTGCCTAATTTCCGTGAAAATCACCATTCCAATGGGAAAAACAAAAAAAAAAAAAGTGAAATCAAATAAAAAATCAACAGTTGGAATTTGGTCAATATTAGTCCGTCTTTATTGTGTAAAATTCCAGAACTGTTCCAGTATTTCTACAATTTAATCACCACATCCGCACTGCCCTACTATGCCTTGAACGGTAAAATGTATACTATTACAGGTTTTAACATTTTTATCTCTCATTATTATATGAATATGTTTAACAATTATGAAACACTAATTTAAAAATACACATTGAGCATGGGTCTAATCACGCAACGCGCGTCTTTAATTTGAACAGTAATGAAGAATTGAGATGCTTTTTTTTTTTTTTTGGAAATAAGAAACTTTATTATCAAAGAATGATGATCCAAATGGAAATTTGCAGCTGGGGTTTTGGGGTTGAGGGCTAAAAGTGTAATTTGAGATGGGTAATAAGCTTCCTGGTACTTGGGTTTAACAGGTTAATTAAGGAAGAGATTTGGTGTCGACCGAGCTTTGAGTGAGATTTAAGGTACTGGAAAAGATCGGTATTTTTTAATTTCTTTGTTTAATCATAATTTTCTTACTTAATATTCTATATTTTACATAATTATTTCGTAATAAAATTAATCAATACACAAATAGGAATTTATTTCCATATTACGATACTTTCTTATTTACTAATGCCATCTTCGCTATATCAAATAGATATACTTGTCATGTCATTATTACCATCTTTATACAATTGTAATTTATAATTAGAATATAGAATACAAATCTTAATAGATTTCTAATTTTGAAGTAGAATATTGATGTCTTAATTAATAGGATTCTATAATACAAATCTTTATAGATTCTTAACTGTACATCTATCTAGAAAAACACTATATTAACCCCTATTCACTGGTATTCAACAAACACAATTACTCTTTTCATGATAGATAGTTAGTTTTAGTTAGTGGTTTCTTTATTTTTTATTTTAGTTATAAGCTATTATATGAATACTTTAACCAATTAAAGAACACTATTTTATAAATACACATTGGGCATTTATAATTATTATATGAATACTTTAACCAATTAAAGAACACTATTTTATAAATACACATTGGGCATTTATAATCGCGCAAAGCGCGTGTACTAACTAGTTAGTTTTATAGATTTTAATTTTGGTAGGACCTTATTTATTTACCCGAACAGGACCACAAAAATCTAAAAACCGACCCTGATAATAATTACGTATAATACATACTCCGATCCACAATTAATCATTAGATCATAACAAAAGTGTTTACATCAAACTTTATACTTATCACATTTATTAATCAATTCCATCTTAAACTATTGCAAATTTGATAATAAGACACAAATTCAAGCCAAACCATTTTATTGAATTGCATATATAAATATTATTAAAGATAAAAGCCTTGAATTGAAATATCATACCCCTTACACAGCAAAATATATGTTTTGAGGGGGGCATCGGCCATACAAATAACCCGTACAATTAATCAATCTCGTGGTGTCTGCATTAAAACAAATCCGTACCTCTGTGAGGTAGAAGGTATTAGAGATTGTTGTACACTGAAATCTCCCGGCAACATTTAAGGCCGCTTTAATTGCATTTTCATAGAGGGACATTGGACCACTGACTTCGGGTATAACGTGTCTTATTTGTAATGCAAGAAGGATATTATTCATATTAAATAATTGTAATCAGGCCCGGATTTTGGGCTGTGCAAGCTGGGCTACCGCACAAGGCCCTAAATTTTAGAGGGGCCCAAATTTTAGAAGGTCAATATTTTATTTTTACCTAGTTAGTTTAGAAATAAAAATTAAAATTTTTTAATTAAATTTAAAAGGCTTTATAAAGAAATGGTAGGAACATGTATTTATTGTATTTTAACTTTGAGGTCTAAGGTTCAAAACTTGTGCACATTATTATTATTCCATAATATGTCTATTTTTACCCGTGCGTTGCACGGAAAAGATTTGTTATAATCTTTAAATTATAACAATGAATATTATATAGTGCAATTGATGAAATGAGTTGTATCGATTATGTTTTTTTATGTTATCTTTGCTTGAATTCGAGCAAATAATTGCCCAACTATCCGTGCAGTGTGCGTGCGATGCACGGATAATTTTTTTTTTTTTTGGTTATATATCTAGATAATAAAATTACGGTATTAGTTTTATAGATTTTAATTTTGGTAGGGCCTTATTTATTTACCCGAACAGGGCCACAAAAATCTAAATACCGGCCCTGATCCCAACGGTCTCAAATTAAAATATTAATTTGTAGTGAATCGATTAGGAGTTGTACGTCAAGTACTAACGTTGTTTACCAATAAATTTTTAATAATTTGTAATTTTTTAAATTGTTGCATTCTTAATATATTTTGATATTTAATATAATTTGTGTATTCATTTATATACGAAAACATGCAATTTGAATTATAATTCAATTATAATTTATTTATTTAAAATCAACGTATGTCTTACATAAAGTATTTAAAAATTAATCTTGAATTTCATGGTTAAATTAATAAGTTTTACAACATAATAACAACAATATTTATAATTTTTAGTCTAGGCATCGCACGAGTATTATACTAGTATTTTTAATAGATTCATAAAAAAAAATATTGCGGTTATTTGGTAAATAGATGTTAGCTTATAGTTGTTAGCTGATTAGATAGTATGTTTAATTAGTTGATAGCATTAGCTTATGGTAGAAAAGTGTTTGGTAAATTAGCTATTAGTTGTTAACTGATTACATACAAAATTACTTTATAAAAGAGTCAAACAGCTAATAGTGGTTAAATAAGCCAAAATTAACTGATAAAAACTAACTAATTTACCGAACAATACCATTATATTTTAACTAAATCTAAAAACATAATAAATGTGAATGAATGTTATACCATTCATTTATGTCTGTTTTTTCCGTTAAGTTTTTTATTTTATTTTATTTTATTTTTTTATGCTATAAAAGTTGTACTTTACAATATTTTGGACAAATATAACCCTACCGTTATAACTTTCATTATTTTTTCCACTATTATTACCATGCACATGCATCCACCTTATATTTTCTTATATTCTTCAATAATAATAATATATAAACATTATATATCTCTATCTCTCTATCTCTATCTCTATCTCTCTATCTCTATCTCTATCTCTATCTATATTAAAGCAAAATGATTAAGGAAAAATCTCTATCTCTCCTCTATCTCTATCTCTATATATATTAAAGCAAAATGATTAGGGAAAATTTTTCCCTAATCATAATCATCATAAATATAATTAAATAAAGATGAAAAGAAAATCATAGTGAATAATAAGCAAAAAGGTTTTAGTCGATGGGAGAGTAATTCACAAAATTAATTTGAGTAATAATTGTTGATCCATAATTGAGAATTAACATTGCAATAATTATGTTATGTTTCTAACATTAATTGATTGGATATAAATTTAAACTTCAGAATCAATATTTACATGAACATCTACACCTACTTCAACATTATAAATAAACCAGCATCCACAAGACTAAAACCAATACTACAATTATGTTTTGGTCGTGGCTGGAATTGGGAGGATGGTTGTGGCTAGAATAGGGAGAAGAATACTTCTGGGAGTTTAAATCTCTTATAGAGCTTTATACCGTGCGATCTGGGGAAGATGAATTAAGAAATGTGCAATAGACATGAAGAAAAAGCTGAGGATAAAAATCATACCTTGCTTCTGAACATGGGGCTTCGATTCTTGGAGCTGTTCTTTCTTGGAAGCAGAGGTAAATGTTAGCCGTAGCTCATGAACGCGAAGAAGAAGAAACAACTTACGTAAAAAGACTATTTTGGCCTCATGAATAAAAAATTTAAAAAGGTTCAAGTTTTTTTGGCTAATTTCTACCGGTGATTTGGCCGGAAGGACCAAATCTGCTAAAAAAAGAATAGTTAAAGGACTAAATTGTTAGTTTTAAAAGTCATGGAGCAAAATTAACACACCCTCTATAGTCATAGGACCAAAAGTGTAATTTGCTTATTTGTTAAATTAATAATAGTCCGTGCATCGCACGAGACATTTACTAGTTGGAGTTAAGATATAAATATCAAATTTATTAAAAAGTTTTACATTATTATTATTATTATTATTAACAATAATTTAAATATCTAAAATATAAATAAATTTAAAATTTTAATATAAAATATTAATATTGGGCACCTATTTTTTGCACATCGCACATAAAAATACTAGTTATTATATTATACATCTCACTTGAGATTGTCTCATATAATACCTCCTCTTGTGAAATTTTACCTAACAAAATCGTGGTTGATTAAGGCTCTGTTTCACTGAGCTTATTTATGAGCTTATAGCATATCTCTGTTTGGTAATGTTCCCAAAATAAGCTCTTAGCTTAAAATAAGAACTTATTTTAGAACGCTACCTTAGTTTGCGTTTCAAAATAAGCTCTTAGCTTCCTAACTTTTTTTTTTCTTATTTTTATCCTTATTATTTTAAAGAAATGACATAATTTACCATTCCCAATTAAAAACCCTTTTCTCTTCTCTCCAACTTTCACACCAAATATTATTATTATTATGTCTGCATGGGTAGTTCAACTGGTCATAGAAGTGAAACTTTGGAAGAATGACCAGGGATCGAGTCTCACCAGTGGCAGCGTGGGAGCAACCTCTCAAAGTGAGGAGGGCTTCTTGTGCGCAGTGAGCACCGGTCTAGCCTCTATGGTTCATGTTCAGTTGAGTCACCATAATGCTCTGTCGGGCCGGGCGTTAGAGTTTCAGCCTTCTTTTGGAAGAATATTATTATTAGGAGATTTGTAATAATATTGCTACTTCATTATGAGATGCTAAATCATGATTATGCTAATAATTTTATTTTAAAATGTTAATTTTTTTAAATACAAAATGTTAAATT